TTCCAGCTACTTGGAAGGCTGAGGCGGAAGGATCGCCGGAGCCCAGCAGATCAAGGCTGCAGTGGCCGTGAGTGTGCCACTGCACTCCATCCTGGATGACAGTGAGACTCCAACTCCAAAAAAAAAGGAAAAAAAATTTTTTTAAAGATATGGCTACCTGAAAAAGATACTGTTGAAGTCAGTTATGTTTTTGTTTTTGAATTGGGTCTCACTCTGTTGCCCAGCCTGAAGTGCTGGAATGTAGTGGCACACTCTTGACTCACCACAACCTTGGCCTCCTCTATCCTCAGCCTCCTGATAGCTGGAACTACAGGTGTGTAGCACCATGCCTGGCTAATTTTTTTTAAATTTTATTTCTTGTTGAGGGGTTTGGTAGGAGTCTCACTACATTTCCCAGGCTGGTCTCAAACTCCTGGCCTCAAACAATTCTCCCACCTCAGCTTCCCAAAGTGCTGGGATGACAGGTATGAGCCACTGCACCTGGCTCAGTGATGTATTTTTAATTACTTTAATAACCAAATGCAAATATTATGGTGTTAAATTCTTGTTTATTGTGTAGTGGGTACACAGATGTTTGTTATTCCTATACTTTGTAAATCTCCATATTTTTCAAAACAAATTCTTAGAGCATTTTATTAAAATTGCTAGATATTAGGCCCCAAGTAGTCATCATTCAATCTACAACAATAGCAAAATTTATTAAAAAACCATCTTGATTCACTGTTATCGAAGCTCTCCCTCCTCCAACTCTTTCAGTAGGCTTTTGTCTCTCTTCTCATTAAATCCTTTTCTTAGTGTCAGAAACCTTTCCAGGGTGATATTTCAGCAACTTGTTTTCTGCTTATTTTCTTCTGTGGCTGACAGAACTCTTACAGCCTCCAACAGGCTCTCGTGAAGAGACACAGCTGCTGTGAGAATTGCTGTCGGCCAGGTGTTAGGCTTTGCCCTCCTCTCTCTGCTGTCTTGGCTTTCCTTGTCATTCCAGTCACAGACAGAAACAAAAAGAGGAAGAAAAAAGGCTGTGTCTGGGGATTACCTTGTGACAGCCCTTTCTCTTCCGAAGGGAGCAGGGTGGGCATTGGGGGAGGGGACGGGGAGCTTTCCCTTTCCAAAGAGCAGGCAGCCCAGCCTCTTCCTCAGATCCACTGCCATTCACACTGGGACACCCTGGGGACTTTACTTCTGTGGCTCAGTAGAAAGGAAGGAAGATGACCTTGACAAATTAGACCTTATCTTTTATAACATAGAGGGTTTTTTATCATAAATTTAACTAATATAAACATTATCTTCTTGTGTGACCTCTTTTTAAATAAAATAATTTTTTGAACATAGCTTTAAAATTATCATTAACTAATAATGTGCTTTTAATGATTTTGCCATAAATTACCTGCTTCCTAGTATGCCTTTATTTATTTATTTTTCTTTTAGAGACTGGGTCTCGCTCTGTCACCCAGGCTGGAGTGCAGTGGCATAATCATAGGTCACTGCAGCTTCGACCTCCTGGTCTCGCCTCCCAAAGTGCTGGGATTACACGCAGGAGCCACCATGTCCCACTCTAGTATACCTTTTAATTTGGGGATCTTGTTAATTAGAATGGGTACACCAGTGTCTTTGGTGTGTAGCTCTTGACCTGAGGGTGACCTGAATTTGTATGTGGTAATCATCCTGCCCTGTCACATGGTGGATGTTCTTTCAGTGAGTCCTTTCTGCGTGCCAGGCACCTCATTTCCTCAAATAGCTGGTGGGACAGACAGACATGTGAGCAAATAATTGTAATAAAATATGATAAAGGAATATAACTGAGAAATATCCAGGCCACATGATGCATAAAGGAAAAGCAGACGACTCGACTGGCAGGAGGAGGTCAGGGGAGGTGTTTTCGGAGGAGATTTTTCTAAAGGTAGCGGGGGTGACCAGAGGACAATTGGGAGGGATCAGGCTCTGCAGATTCAGGCAGGGCTGGGGCGTGCACCAGTTGGTGGACTTGTGGGTACAGGGACAGAAATTCCAACTCACACTGGCTGAAACTGAAGGGGCTTTGTTGGCTTAAAACTGACCAAGTCTGGGGGTGGAGCGTGAGGCGCAAGCGTTATGTGCAGTTTGAGTTGTTTCTCTGCTCTGCCCTCGGCTCTGCTGGTTAATTTTTGGCCTGACTTTCCCGTGGCTGCAAGAGATGGCAGCAGAATGAAGCCTCACAGCACACACCACCACCGGGAGCAAGGAGGGGCCCTGCGTGTGGCCGGGAAGATACTGTGTGTGGGTTTTACGCTTGGGTGAGCTCTCCTGCCCTCACCTCCCAGCCGTGGTGGCAGGGATGATCCCACACAGTCTGCTGCTGTGCAGTGGGTGGGGTGGGTTTTGGAGGTAATGACAGCACTCAACCATGGCCACGTGTGTGCAGTTTGGACTACCCGTAGGCTGTGAGGTGCCATCAAGGTGCTTTTAAAGCAGGAAGTAACAGATCCAAGTTGAGATTTTTCCAGAAATCACTGTGAGTCATGTCAAAGGTGCCTGAAGAGGGGCGAGGCCAGCTAGTGAGTGCCCCTAGACTCCCTAGACTAACCCTAGATCTAACCCTAGACTCCACCTGGTGCAGTGAGATTTCAGTCAGGGCAGAGTGTGTCAACACTCGCATCTTCTGGCTTTCCTTG